CCATGTGGATTCATGGATTTTCTTTTCACATTCTGTCTCTCACAGTTGAAGTGTACCTCTGGTGCAAATTACTGACCTCTGTCATCATTTTAGGTGGAGGAACTTGCACAATCGGTGGCTGACTAAATACTTTTTTGCCCCACTGTATGTGGAGCTACCTGCTGTGGTGGCCCCTTATCAATAACAAAACAGTTGAGGTAACTTGCTAGTTACATATGTTTATCATTATTATGGCTGCCATATCATTGGTAGCCATATATACATATGTGGCACTTACTGAAAATACATTGAAGATCTTTGCAATCCATAGGATCAGTCCTCTGGCATTTCATTGCGTATTCAATAAAACCCTAAAATGGCAGTGAACCAAGTATTGAGCCTGTGGAACCCCGCAATGTAAACTTTAGTAATGATGGGGGGCTTTTTTGCGACTTTGCATGTTTATTACAAATTTTATTAATTAAAAAAAAAACTACTTTATAACTTATAATTTACACAGTTTTTCTACCAATATCTGCACTTTATTTATGAATTATTGGATTTATTTTGTGCAACAAGAGAACCATGTTGAGAATGATCTTGAAGTGGCAACATGCTGGAAAACAGTTTTCCAGTAAAATAGATTGTCATTCTTTATCAAAAAGAGAATTTTTTTAGTGTAGTGTGTTTCATTTTTATTCACAGACTGTATCAGGACATCTCAGAGGTTCATAGTGCTTCATGTGTGGAGGACCATCAAACAGACATAGACTCAATATTTAAGGTAAATTTGTCTCAGTGTGCACTTAGCAAAGTCTCAGCAGTTTTTAATTTGTTTGGTTTGGTTTTTTAGTCACAGTATATGTTTCATCTTTTTATATAATTTTTCAGTTGCTTGAGGAGAGTATTTTCACTTTTGTGAAAGACGAGTTGAAGCGAATGCAAAGGCTTTTAAAATCAAAGTGTTCAGATGGAGAAATGGACACCGATATGAATGAGGGCATGAGGAGCAGCAGAGAGGCATTTCAAAACATCGCACTGCACTTCCTGAGAAGAATAAACCACGAGAACCTGGCTGATTCTCTGCAGAGCAGTAAGAACATTTTACAGCTGCATTTTAATGGATAGTATGTGAGGAAGGAAGACAATGAGAAAAAGGAAACAAATATACAGTATAAAGATGCCCTTTAAACTCCACATTGAGCAGTTAATGCAGGTATAACAGATTAACGAGTTTATTATGTACTTGAAGCCCATTCGTCATCACTGACTGATTGTCAGTTTACTGCTAGTGCTTCAAGCTAAATGTTTTGACTGTGGCCATCTTGGTGTTATGAAACCACAGGTAACAATGGGGACAGTGACTATGGCCATAATCCTGTAATTTTTATTTGTTTGTATATTTTTTTTAAACTTACACTATTTTGAAAATATAGACTTGACAAAACCAGATCTTCTTTTTGGATTTTTTTTTGTACATGGCTAAGATCTCAGTCACACAGGTTTCAAAGCTGAAGACAGTAAAAAGTGCAAAAGTTGCAGAGTTTAGGTCTTTGCATGTTTTTCATTGATTAATTGCAAGTTTGTTCTTTGTTGGAAAGAATACAGGTTCAGCATTGGCTTCATATAATTTTATATGTTGTTTTTGTGTGTTTATGCAGAATCCCCTGCAGTATGTCAGCGTAAACTTAAATTTAGTTTAAAAAGGAAATTCCAGTGCTTGTTTGAGGGGACAGCTAAAACACGAAACCCAACTTTTTTGAATGACATCTACACAGAGCTCTACATAACAGAAGAAGGGACTGGAGAGGTCAGCAATGAACACGAGGTCAGACAGATTGAAACCGCTGTGAGGAAACCGGCCAGACCAGAAAGAACGATCACATGTGAGGACATCTTTAAAGCCTCATCAGGTAAAGATCAGGCATGTAGAACAGTGCTGACAAAGGGAGTGGCTGGCATTGGGAAAACAGTCTTGACACAGAAGTTCACTCTGGACTGGGCTGAGGACAAAGCTAACCAGGACATCCAGTTCACATTTCCATTCACCTTCAGAGAGCTGAACCTGCTGAAGGGTACAAATTTCAGTTTGGTGAAACTTTTTTATCATTTCTTTACTGAAGCCAAAGAAGCAGGACTCTGCAGCTTTGAGGAATTACAGGTTGTGTTGATCTTTGATGGCCTGGATGAGTGTCGACTTCCTCTGGACTTCCAAAACAATAAGATCCTGACTGATGCTCGACAGCCCACTTCAGTGGATGTTCTGCTGACAAACCTCATCTGTGGGAACCTGCTTCCTTCTGCTCGGCTATGGATAACCACACGACCTGCAGCAGCCAATCAGATTCCACCTGGATATATTGACATGGTGACAGAGGTCAGAGGGTTCACTGACCTACAGAAGGAGGAGTACTTCAGAAAGAGATTTGGAGAAGAGGAGCAAGCCAGCAGGATCATCTCTCACATAAAGACTTCGCGAAGCCTGTACATCATGTGCCACATCCCTGTATTCTGCTGGATCACTGCTACAGTTTTGGAGGATGTGCTGAAAACCAGAGCAGGAGGAGAGCTGCCTAAGACCTTGACTGAGATGTACATCTACTTCCTAGTGGTTCAAGCAAAACTGTGGAGCATCAAGTATTGCATTGGAGCTGAGGTGGATCCGCACTGGAATCCAGGGAGCAGGGAAATGGTTTTGTCATTGGGAAAACTAGCATATGAGCAGCTGCAGAAAGGTCACCTGATCTTCTATGAATCAGACCTGACAGAATCTGGCATTGATCTCAGAGTGGCCTCGGTGTACTCAGGATTGTTCACACAGATCTTTAAAGAGGAGAGGGGGCTGCACCAGGAGAAAGTGTTTTGCTTTGTCCATCTGAGCGTTCAGGAGTTTCTAGCTGCTCTTTATGTCTTTCTGACTTTGACAAACTTTGGCGTGAATCTGTTTCAGTCTGAAACTTGGTGGTCAAATTTATTCAGGGACAAATCTAAGCTATCATACCTTTTCCAAAGTGCTGTGGACATGGCTGTACAGAGTCCCAATGGACACCTGGACTTGTTTCTCCGCTTCCTTCTGGGTCTTTCCCTGCCAACAAATCTCACACTTCTTGGTGGGTTGGTGACACAGAAAGGAAATATCTCTCTTGGGAAGCAGGAAACAATTGAGTATATAAAGAGTGTGATCAGGAGGAGTTTGTCACCAGAGAGAAGCATTAACCTGTTCCACTGTCTGAATGAGCTGAATGACCATTCTCTGGTTGAGGAGATCCAACAGTATCTGAATTCAGGAACCCTTTCCCCAGATGAACTGTCTCCTGCTCAGTGGTCAGCTCTGGTCTTCATCTTACTGTCATCAGAAGAAGACCTGGACATGTTCGACCTGAAGAAATACTCTGCTTCTGATGAAGGTCTTCTGAGGCTGCTGCCTGTGGTCAAAGCCTCCAACAAATCTCTGTAAGTTTCCTGAAAAATGGGAAACAACTGCTAAAGAACTACTGCATTTAGCTTAATCTGCTGAAAATAAAGTAAGTCAGGAAATTATAATTTACTTAGACATCAATGCATGTATATGTTTAAAAAATACAAATAGATTAAACAAAGAGAAAGCTAAAAGAGAAAAGCTTAAAAAAGGAAATCATGGGATGTGTAAATACAGAAAGAAAGTAAAACAAAAATATGAAATCATTCAACTTCATTAATAACTATATTTTCACTATTTCTGATGAGTTTAATGACATACTGGCAGTTGATACAATTACAGCTTCAGCAAAATTCCATTATTGATCAATGTTCCTGATTCTTTCTAAGTAGTCTGGTTGTTTTGTTTTGGAGAAATGCTCATTTTAATTACCATGAGATTTTGAGTCTTTGTTCCAGAGTTTCTGTATCTTAAATTTTGCTGTAATTTTTAGGAACGTTTTTGGGCTATTTAATGCACTAGATCTGCATGCATTATTTTCTAAATGTTCTAGCTGTGATTTAAAAGCTATGAACGATGCATCCTCTATATGAGAAGGAAAATTTTTATACAATTTACGCAGGATCTGAAATAACACACTGAAAATACAGAGCTGTTTACTTGGGTACTTAAAACCTGAATTTAATACCATAATTACTTTCAGTAGTTTCTTGATGGTGACCACATGAACATGCATTTAATAACTATGTATCTGGCCAACATATAATAATACATTTTGGCAGATATCAGTAGATTTTTTTTTTTTGATGTGATTAACATTGCTCCCTTTTGTATGAATAATAAATGTAGGTTGAGTGGCTGTAATCTGACAGAGAGATGCTGTGAAGGTTTGGCCTCAGTTTTTAGCGCTCAGTCTTCCACTCTAAGAGATGTTGATTTGACAAACAACAACCTGCAGGACTCAGGACTGAAGTTGGTGTCTTCTGGACTGAAAAATCCACAGTGTAGCCTAGAAAAGCTAAGGTTTGATCAACACATTTTGGGAAAATTTTCACAGTCGTTTCTGCTGAAACTGCTAAAAATTGAACAGAGATGGTAAATGTCTAAACAAAACATGTTTATATTCATCTTATTACCAGGTTGAACCAAAACAATCTCACGGAGAAATGCTGTCAAGAGCTGTCATTAGTTCTACAGACTTCTCATTTGAGAGAATTGGACTTGAGTTACAACAATCTGCAGAACTCTGGACTGAAACAGCTCTCTGCTGGGCTAAAAGGTCCAAACTGTAGACTGGAAACACTCAGGTCGGGATATCCTATTTTACATAGCAATTAATAATCTGTGGTGTGATATTTAAAATAATTCTGTATGTTGTGTTTTGTTTTTAATTTGTGCACTGATTTAAATTCTTCTACAGGCTGATTGGTTGTAATCTGTCAGAGAAAAGTCATGATACGCTGTTTTTCATTCTCACCTCCTCTAATCTGAGAGAGCTGGACCTGAGCAACAACAGCCTGAAGGATTCAGGAGTGATGCTCTTCTCTGAACAGGGAAATCAGCACTGCAGACTGGAAACTCTCCGGTTGGATTATGACTTATGTTAAAGTTTTACGTTTGGATCTTAAAGTCATTAGGTTTTTTAAAATTAGTTTTTGGTTACATGCTTATAATAAAATCTGTGGCTAACCTTCAGACTTGTGTTCTACAACAGAATTATAAAGATTTCAAGTGTCCCTGAGAAGGTGTTTGCTAGCAAGTACCTAATTCAGACATTTCCAGTTTTGGGGGATAATTAGCATCATTACTTCATTTACAGAAGCGTATCGATGATGTTCAAGTCACACAACTTGATATTATTCATTTGTAGCCTGAAATTTGTATTTTATTACTTGGAATTTATGTTTCAGAGATCATTAAAAATTGCATATTTTGTTCAACATTACAATCAACATAATCAAATTTATCTTTAAAAACAGATGCAAATTTCCAAAACATGTCCTGCAGAACTTATTTTGCAGAATCATCCAAAAGTAATTTCTTTTAAAAAAATAATCTCTTTACAAAGTAATCTCTTTTTTAAAAATCCCATTGGCTTTTTTTTTTTATTCAAGAGATGTGATGATAGAGACAGTGTGATGGCAACTTCCATTAAACTCTCTTGGCCTACACAAAACACGTTTCCTATGCCACTGTATCACATCCCATAAATGTTTGGTTTAAAAACATTTTAAGATGTATCTTTTTATTTTATCAGATTGAGTCGAACTGGTCTCACAGAGCAATGCTGTCAAGGGTTATCATCAGCTTTATGCACAAAGGTGTCTAGTCTGAGAGTGCTGGACTTGAGTGACAATGACCTGCAGAGCTCAGGAGTAAAACTGCTCTGTGAGGGACTTGGAAGTCCACACTGTCAACTCCAAACTCTAAGGTGAGGTCAGGTTAAGACGTATTTGGCTACCTTGATTCTGCAACTGCGACATTAGATGTAATTGCAAATGCTTTGTCCTTTGGTAAAATGTTTCTTATTTATAAGATGCTTATTCATAAATAAAACAGCTAACCTGGTACAGAGAACTTTTTGTTTGTATTTGATTATAGATACTGCAAGTTTCTATAAAATTGACCTTTTTAAAAACATAGTCTACAATGCTCTAAAGTATACACGTTAAAGACCTGTATCTCATTTGTTAGGTTAACTCAAACCAACCTCACAGAGAAATGCTGCAATGACATCTCAACAATTCTTAGCTCCCGGTCTTCAAGTCTGAGAGATCTGGACCTCAGTAACAATGATCTGCAGGATTCCGGAGTGACATTTTTGTCTGCAGGACTGCATAGTCCGTACTGCATGCTGAAAACTCTCAGGTCAGATTTCAACTTGTAAACTCTAATACTTTCTATACATAAGGTCGGTTTTGGTTATTTGTTACTTTTAATTTGAGCAAAATTTGTGTCAAACTTTTTTTGTAGATGCACCTAAATGAAAAAGCTATATCAGTGCGATGGATATAGAAAGTTATTTTTATGTCATGGTACACTCTGTTCTACTGTTTATAACAGTTACTGACATTTTAAAGTTTTCTAATTTCTTCTGCCATACTTTATACCTAAATGGTAGTAGAATGGTTTATACCTTAATCCTACATATTTAAATGTTCCAT